TTATATGTATTGGACTACGAGCATAAACGTATGTCCAGAAGCTACTGTAGTACTGGAAGACGCCAGTCCTGGCGATGATGTTTGATAATCCTTCACGGCGCTCGTCAAGAAGACGTGTAAAACATTGTGATTGTTCTTGTCATCGAGATGAAGTACGGTCCTGTAGATCGGAAGTGGTATGTTTCCATGTGCTCTGTTTGCTTTGTGAATTGACCACAGACATACCATCACCTCGAAAATGCGCTGAATCTGCTCCCTGCGAGGGTTTAATCGCCTGGCATTGACGTATGCACACCTCTCAACTGGTACGTCTGGTAGTCTGGGCGTACGAACATATTACTGTACACAACGCAGAGTTTCACCATACACCTGTGCATAGGTCTCCCCGTGCGTGCGATGGTACACCCGAGCCTTTTCTATCGCGACTCCTCCGCCAGCCCCAGAAATGTCTTCTTCTCCGGAGACCGCTTGGCGTTTGTCGCGCGACAAGGCAAAACCACATGGATCAGCAACCGCGAGTCGCATGCTGCACACTACATGGACAAGCGGGCCAGTGCGGTCATGATGGCGTACCTGTTATTGTGCAAGCCGCTGGAGGAGCTGTTTGCTGATTACTTGCAAGATCGAAACGAATTGATCACGTCTGAGGCAATAGATCCCAATTCCCTGACGGAAGAAGAGCAAGATGAGCTCGAGGCCGACGCGATGGAGGTCGAAGATTCAATCGAGCCAGACACTGTTGGCTCTGTTGACGACCAGCACGACGATCTACGAGCGGCCAAGCGTGTCGCACAGGAGGGCACGTATGAGCTGCTGTTCAACATTGCGCCAATGCAGCTCGAAAAGCAGCTTCGGCCAGGCCAAGTCTACCGAACCATCCAGGCCGTGACCAAGCGGTTTCTTGGAACCAGCATCACTGTCAGCGCATGGCGGCACATGAGTGTGGCTTGGCTGCGTACACTGGTGTTGCATCATACGCCCGAGCCTTCATTGGGGGCGTTGAATGTGGCACACTCTCAAAGCCGCATGCAGGCAGAACGGCACGCAACGTCTATGGCCGCACGCAGCTCGATCACAAGTTTGTGTCCAGTGAAGCACAGTACGGCCATCAGTTTGTGTCTGAAGAATGGCACAAGCTCATGAAGCTGGTAGATGTAGAGAATCAGATCCAAGCTGAGGCCGTAGATGGACAGACCTGCGTGCAACAAGTGGTTCATAAACAGGTGGTCATCCAGTCGTCTCGGGTCAGGAACGCCAGCACACAGGTGCAAGCGACCGTGGGCACGCAAACAGATCTCGAGGTTGAAGCCTGCCTTGATGCTGAGGATGACATTGACGATATCATTGCCGGGTTGGATTTAGACGAAGCCGAGGCAGCCGGATCGTCCATGCCAGTTGCCGTGCCGCGAGCCGTGGAAGAGGCTGCGTCGACGGCCTTGCAGCAAGAGCCAAGCCAGCACAATGACCAAACGCAGCAGGAAGAGTATGAGGATCAGCTTTGGCTTGCTCAATGTGTGCGGCAAGCGTGGAAGACAACATTTCGCGACTGGGATCAGTATCGATTGGCACAGGCTGTGACTCGGCACGAAGCCCAGGATGGCTGGCTGCTGGCCGTGGCCCCGACGGGCATGGGCAAGACGCTGTGTACACTCGCTCACCTCCAGCCACGCAAGGTCGTGGTGTGGGTAGTCCCGCTTCGTGAGCTTGCCAGAGACTTGTGCCGCCGCTTCGAGCAGGCAGACATTGTATCGCAGTCGGCTAAGAATGATGGCCGCGACATGCAAGTCAACGTTCAAGTGATTGTCATGACGGTCGACTTTTTGGTTGGCTATGGGATGAGGTGGGTGCAAACTCTCGTGCAGCAGAAGCGTCTGGCCATGCTGGTGATGGACGAGGTTCACACAATGCTCGTGGACACTAGCTATCGAGACAGCCTTGTTCGCTGCCCAGGCCGGCTGGACCATCTTCGCCAAGACCCATCTGTCAAGTGTGTGGGCCTGACTGGCACGCTTTGCCCCAAAGATGAGCGGGCTCTGCTCCAACAGCTGGATTGCACGGAGGACGCTTCGTACCAGACCTTTCGTATGCCAACCATGCGAACCGATCTTCGGCTAGGGGTGCAACAAGGAACAACAAAGGCATTTGAGATGTTTGTGGAACGCCACTACGACCTGTTGGAGCAAGAGGGCCGCGTGGATCGCATGTTGATTTTTTGTGACACGAAGAAGCAGGTTGAGGCATTGTCGACTCAGTTGGCACGCACGTTGGGTCACGAGCAGTCGCTGGCCGTGGATGCTGACATGTCAGCCGAAGACACGCGAGCCGCTCTTGAGCAGTGGAGGAGCGGCACGCAGAGTCTGGTCTTGGTGGCCACAAGCTGCTTGGGCGCGGGCTTGGACATGCCCAACGTCCGGAAGGTGATCTGGTTTGGCAGCGGCTACAACGGCTACACCTTGTCGCAGGCCTTTGGCCGGGCTGGCCGCGACCGACGGGGTGGCGAGGCCACGCTATGGATTCCACGAGGCACAGCGGTTTCGGAAGACCTGCAGCCATTTGCAAGCATGAAGCGCTGCCTGACCTTTGAGCTTGGTTCGCTGCTGGATGGTGAGGGCCACATTTGTGCGGCCGCAGGAGCGCCGGCTTGCACCGTCTGCTCCATGATGCAACCGACCATCACAGCTCGCCATCCAAGCCGTGAAGCACATGGGGCGCCAGTATCACACGAGGGCCAGACGCGGGCCAAACGAGCGCAGTTGATGGTACCATCGGCGCCAATTCAGTCAGACGACTTTAACACGGCTCTGCTATGGATGAGCACCTACTGCTGGGCCTGCAGCTGCAGCAGAGACCGCTT